CAAATTTGACATTTCTCGGTCCAGTGGATGGCGAGTTATTCGCGTTCTTAATAATTTATGTTTTTTTTTATTCCAACCCGGTCTTATTATATTTTAATTTTTAATATCCTTTTTTTTTTATTTTATTATTTTCTCCGGCATTTTTTATTTTTTTTTATTTTATTTATTATTATTCCGACCTTTCTTTAATTTTTATTCTTTTTACATTTTTTTTATTCTATATCCCCCCGGTATTTTTTATTATTTTTTAATTTTTCTATTATTTTTTAATTCCCACCCCGCCCGATAATTTTTTTTTTAAAATTTTCTTTTTTTTTTAATTTTTATCGTTTTTATATTTTTTTATATAAATTTTTTTTATTTTTTAATTTTTTTCTTTTATATTTTTTTATATTTTTTTATATTATTATTTTTTTCTTTATTTTCGTTTTATTTTTATATTATTTTTTTTTTGATCCCCCCGCCCGGTTTTTTTTTTAAATTTATTTTTTTTCTTTTCGCTTTTTGTTATTTTCTTTAATTTTTATATATATTTATATTTTTATTTCATTTTCATTTTTTTATTTATTCATTTTTTATTTTTATTTTTTTTTTTATTTTTTTTTATTTTTTTTCATTTTTCTTTTAGTTTCGCTTTTTTCTTTTTTTCTCCGTTTTCTAGTTCTTTTTTATTTGTTTTTTAGTTTTGTTTATAGATTTTGTTGTAGTTTTAATATTCATTTTCTTTTTTCAATTTTATTTATTTCTTTTTTTTTTTCTTATCGTTTTTCGTTATCGTTTCGTTTTTTTTTAAAAAATAAAATAAAAAATGAACGGATGAAAATAAAAAAAATAAAATAAAAATAATTAAAATATTATTTCGCCAGATCTCGGCGATATGCTTGTTTTTATATCTTCGCGATTTTTTTTATTGTTTTTTCTACTTTCAGCGATCTTTTTTTATATTTTTATTTGTTCCTTTAATTTTTTTTATTTTTTAGATTTTATATTTTTATATTTTTTTTTTTATTCGTCTTCCTTTCCCTTGTTTAATTTTTATTATTATTTTCTATTTAATTTATTAATTTTTTTTTATTTTTTGATAGTTTTTATATATATATACATTATTTTTTATTAATTTTTAATTAAATTTAATAATTTGACTTTTTTTACCTTTTTTTCTTAATTATTAATAATAATAATTGCGATTTTAAATATACCAGAGACTTATTGTTTCTGAAACTTGATGCATCGTCCTAGCCGAATTGCTAGTAAAAATAGTAAACAATATAAACAATAATAAAAAGAAAATTTCGTCACTCATCTGACTGCGTCGCCGTGATGAACCGAAGTGTGTCACATCCAAAAGGGCGGAATCAGTCCTAACCAAAATTGAAAAAAAGCCATTAGATTTGATTAATAATCAAAAAAAATTAGTAAAATTATAAAAAAATTTACACACTTTACTGCGTCGCTGTGAAAAACCAAAGTGGCAAATCTAACGATCTAACCTATAAAATAATAAACCAAAAAAATAATAAATAAAATTATTAATCAATAATTATTAATTAAGTAAATAATTAACAATAGGAATAAGCAATACATAATATTAGAAAAAAAAAACCGATAAAAACAATTTCATTATACATCTGAACGTGCCGCCGCGACAGACCAAATCTTTTTTTAAAAAAAAATATTTAAACAACCTTTATTCCTTGAGGTAGATTCCTCCTCTACCTTATCCTCTACCTTTTAGTGTTAGTGTTTGTGTAAAGTAAATATAATAATAAGATATATATTCAGTCATTAGCGTTACACGAATTGCCTAAAAAGGAGAATTTTTGAGGAAAAGAAAATTATTTTGTCGCTCAAAGGTCCAGAAATCCGGTTTACACTAATAAAATCACACTAAATTTTTTTATATACTATAATACCTCCTTTAATATATATAGTATGTCAAAAAGTTAAAATTAAAAAAATAATTATAAATAATTTAGAATAAAAAAAAAAACTAAATAACAAAATTAAAGTGGGAGAGGTAAAAAAATAAAAATAATTAAAAATAATTTTCAAAAAATAAAAAACATAAATAATTATTAATAAAACAAACTTGGGGGGAGGAAATAAAAAAAAGAAAAAAAAATATATATTTTTTTTTAATTTCAAAGTTTTGATATGCCCGTGGCGAATTTTGAACGTGAATATCTCATCATCTACCAGTCCGGTTCTTTTCAAATTTGATCCGCAGATTCGGTAGGTTCTATTCTTTCAAAAAGACCAAATATATCCCGATTCAATTACTCGATCTGGAGATATTTGGGAATAACTGAAGCAATTATTTTGAAGTTCATCATAGAAGAATCTCAACCAGGTGTGAATACCAGAACCGAAGCAAAAGGAACTGTTCGAAAAGTAATGATTCCAAACACTATTTTCACCATCAGAAAACCTAAAGAAGTGAGAAAACTGTATTTTAATATGTAAGAAAATGAAATAGATCTAGAGTTGATAATAAAAAAGGTTTGCTGTGACAAAATTTAAACGCGAATAACTCAACATCAAATATTTCAGCTCCTATCTAATTTACTATGCAGGATCGGTAGGTTTTGACCTTTCAAACAAGTTCGTAATCTTCCAATTTTAACTCTAACCTAACCAAACTAAACCTAAATGATCTTTAAAACTTTACCCTTTTTTTGTCATAAAGTGATCTAAAAGCATTACCCAAGTAGAATTACTAATCCCTTATAATATATTACTTTGCAGAAATTTTTAAAATTGAGACCATATCATGACCAAGTTGAAAATTTATCGCAAACCTTATAACCAAGATTTGGTAACAATATGGTTTTATATCGTCATGATAAGCTTATGTAAATTGTACAAATAAAGTTGATTAATATTAAGGAAAGTGTTATCTGATTTAACCTGATTTTAACCTAATTAAATAAAATGAGTCAAATTGATAGTAAATGTAAATTAAAAGTATATTGAATATATGTTGAATATATGTTTAAACTATATCAAATGTATAGTAAAAGTTTAGTAAAAGTTATATTGACTGTACATTAAAGTTTTATTAGATAAATAAAAAAGTCATAGTAAAATGTTTTATTCTAAATTTTAAACTATATCAAATGTATAGTATAAGTTTGATCAAAGTTATATTGACTGTACATTAAAGTCTCATTAGATAAATAATAAAGTTATAGTAAAATGTTCTATTCTAAATCTAATTGTATATATTCTGAAGCAAGCATATATAAATGTAAATTGTTCTATAAATGCAAACTGTTATTAATGCAAAATGTAAAATATCCTATTAATTAACGTATATAAAATAATAAACGGCTTTAAAGAAAAATAAATTTCATATATACAAATCATTTCTAATATTATGATTTCCTCTAATACATTCTTCATCTTTACAATTATAAATGAAATGCACAATATTTGTCACATTCACTAAACTAATAGAAAATACTTTTCGCCAATTAGTATTTATCTTCTGTAACTTGTATAATAGATAGCTTAGCATTGTTCGATTTAATTTCTCAAACCAATCAATGATAACAAACACAAATCAATGATCATTCTTTTAATAACAAAATATAGCCTTTATAATCGTAAAATTGTTCTCATTTTCAATATTAATCAATACGATATCTCTGATATGTAACAATATAGAACAGCATCATTCTTTTTTTTTAAAAATTTGCATATTCAAAGAAGATTGGTATGCTATTATTAAGTATCACAGAATTATTTTTAAAATCCTCGTAGGCTTGTTTTAATTCTGCTTGAAGATCTAACAATAGTGATGTTTTGACATTTATTTGCTTTAGCGATATATTAGAAATCTGTTCGTCTGGTGAATAAACTTTTAAATCCTATTAATTAATATTCAATAAATACTTTTTAATACTATATTATTATATTATACCTTCTCTTACATTATCCTTAATATTAACTTTATCTTTTGTAATAAACTAGTTACTCATTAAGCGTCACAAATATTTTATTATATTTATAAATCCACTGTTTTATGTAGATAACCTCAAATCTATGCCACTATCTAATAGATGACATATCACAAACAAGGTAGTATAATGCTTAAATAAATCTAAACTCACATTCTTTAGATTTATCTGAGGTACAATACTCTTGAATATTCAATGCATTATTTCTTTTGTTTTAATGCTTGTGTTCAATAATGTCGCATAATTCTTTGCATGTAATAATAGGTGAAAGTTGGTATGCAGATTGACAAGTTTTCAAACTCTTTGAATGCCTGTTGGTAAACAAAATTAGGATTAGCTATGCAATGTTATAATAAATGTAAACGAATATAAATAAATCGATATGATATTTTTTTGAGTATATGATTTAGTTTCTTTGTTTTTCATGTTCTATCTGTGATGTATTATATAAAATGATTATAATTATAATTTAAATAATAATACCTTTGATAAAAGCATTCTTTCATTGTATAAATAATCACTGGTTGAAGTGAGGTGATATACAATAAATTTATAACTCAGAAATTACTGATACATTTTATTATTTTAAAGTGTGATTAGGAAACATCGATTCATAATATGTAAGCCTGTGTAAATTCAGATGAAATTACTTGTATTTATTTATAGGTAATGATCAAGGAAATAAAATGAAGACTAAAACGAATTATTATAGTTTTTATTAATAAATCATGAAACATCGTTCATATAGGAATTATAACTTATTGAAATTTCGTTTTTTTTAATAAAATTTGAATCTCAAAATTAACGTTAAATCATCAATTTTTACTTGTGTTTTTAAAAATTTACATGCAATTTATAAATTATTTATTCTTTTAATTAATAGAAAGCCCAAGCTAATATAAGCAATAATTATACATGCAATAAAGATTCACATAAATATAGCTAAATTGAAAACCTTTTATTTAATGGTATTACAGCTATTGAGTCTGTCTGACTATTTTGAGGGTGATAATTTGCTTTTATAAATTGAAATACAATTTGTTAAACTGGTATAATACTTTCATGTGAAATCTTTTTGATCAAAGATTGCCATAATTTGACATGCTTCATGCCATTTTGTACAGCTCCATCAAGTATTTTACATTGCGGAATATTAAAATGATCTTTTTTATTATGCTTTCCATACCAATCACCAAAAGCTAATATATGTTCTGCATGCCCTTCTGGTAATAGAATTGAATGTTAAAAAAAATAACAGATTGTTGCTGACCAATACTCTATATTATCATTTCATCTAGAATTGTAACTATTACATTAGCAGCAAATTTAGAATGACATAATTGTGATCTAAATCGTTCATCAGCAATGCGAAGAGCAGATGCATGTATCATTGTAGATAATATAAATATTGAATTATTATTTTGTCGTTCAACTCCAGAATAAAATGTGTATCCAATATTAGCATAAATCCGCTCATAATATCTGACTAAATAATCAATTAAAAGTCTATCTGCTATCATTTCGTATATACAGTAGTGGCGAAAAAAACTGGCAGTAAATGAAAATTCATTTACTCGATCACTATTTATTAAAATCGTTCGAAACTTAAAATATAAATAAACTAATACCACATTTATTATATATTAAAATTTTAATATTGAATTACATTGCTATTCCTTTCAATTACCAAATTTACCCTCCTTTCCATATTATTGACTAAATTAAGGCAGAGGTTTTGATCAATATTGAACTATTCGCCTTTAATAATTTTCATAAAAATCCTTTGCATAACCGATTTTTTTTCACTAATTCGTTTATTGACCTTCTTTTTCACCCTTTTCTTGATAATCATTCACAAATTTTCTATTAGATTCAGATCTGGAGAATATAATGGCCAATCGAGAACCGTGAGACATCAATTTTTGAGAAAAGACACCGTAAGCTTGGCTTTGTGCTTCAGATCATTGTCCTGTTGAAATGTTTAGAACCTTCCAAGAAGCTGATATGCTTGATCAAAAAGATTATTTATTAAAATTTCACGGTACAACTTCCTATTCATGTTTTCAGTAAACATGTGAAACCCAACGATTCCTTACAAACAAAAGCCCTCAAACATGAACTTTGAATGGATGTTTGACAATTTCACAAGTTGGTTTTTCTTCACCCTCTTTATAATGAATTAAGGTGGTGTTACAGAACATTTGAAAGGCTGTTTCATCAGAAAGAACCATATTTTTTCAATTTTTATTTTTATGAACTTCTGCCCAAGAAACTCGTCTCTCTTTTGCAATTGAAGTGAGGAATGGGATTTTTTTAGGAACACAAACTCAGTAACCAAGCTTCCAAAGGTTCTCACAGACTGTGCGAGTGGCTATATTAAGACCTGGGTAAGTATTATTAAGAGTGTCTGCAATTTCAAAACTTGTTGCACCAGTACACGAATGAGCGAGCTGACTAAGGTGATGCTGCTTTTTTGGACTTAAAACCTTTGGGCATCCTAAACGATATCGTTGTTTTAAATTTTTGGTTTTTTTTAACTGTGATGACTACCGATACAGTATCCTTAATGGGAACTTGGTAATTTTGTGTAGTTTATTTACATTTCGTATTCCATTATTCCACAACGACTTAACTACCTCACGTCGTTCTTTAATAGAAATTTTTTGCGACATTATTACATCATATCGGTCATGAGGCACTCTTGTATTGATCAGTGTAATATAGTAAACAACTAAACAAAAATTTGGTTTGTGTTGTTCAATCAGATATGATGTAAATCATTGTTTTAATCACATGATCGTGACTGCCATTTTTTTCTGCCACTACTGTAACTGATTTTTTTGCTTTTCTATAATAAAATTTTAGTCACAAACAACACCAACAAAACGCTTCTAACGAAAAAAATCAACCGATGAAGAGCCAAAACATAAATTGAATTTTATTAATCAACCAGCCAATTTTTTCAAATGATAACTGATTTTTTTATTTTTTTACAATAGAATCTTAGTCGCAAATAACACTAACAAAATGCTCCCAATGAAAAAATCAACTGATGAAGAGCCAGAATGTAAGTTGAATTTTATCAATCAACCAGCCAATTTTTTCAAATGATAACTGATTTTTTTGTTTTCTACAATAAAAAAAAGACAAAAATGAGTTCATACAATATCGACTGAGAATGAACTGGTTGTTTTAGATCATAAGTTAGTCATAATATAATATTATTTTTATATTAATACTAAATAATTTTTCAAATTATAAATGTAGATTTAGGAGAAATGGAAAGACAATATAAGGAAATTCAGCTCCCATCAAAATTTTGATGACAACCAATAGCAAGTACTTCAGTTGTGGCTGATTTTGAGATTCTCGATGGTTCAAACGATTTAGAATTAGGTATTTTATTTTTGATTTATTTTCATTTATTATTTTATAATTAATAATATATTTTCTTTATTCCTATATAAAGAATCAAATGTTAAAAGAAAAACTTGCTGAATTTACCAAGAGAATCAAAAAATTAGAGCGATAAAATTTTGATCTCTTGAGGGAAAACCAATTTCTTGCTGAAATAAATGATGAATTTAGCAAGAAAAATGAAGATTTACAGAAGAGGTAAAAATATGTATATTAATATCCTATATTTACAATAACTAATTTTTCTTTTTTAATATTTAAGACTTGACTGATTTGAGAAATTACAACTGCCAAGATCATTGAAGCAATCTAATGCCAGTCCTTCTGCAAAATGAAGAAAAATCAGAAAATCATTATCAAAATCAAAGGGAAAAAAGCCAGTATATTGTACCGATGATGAATTGAAAGAATCAACACAAAACAATTCTGAGGACAATGATAATTTGACAACAGAAGAGGCTAATGTAAAAAGAGCTAGGGTATGTTTGAATTTATGTCTAAATAATTTAAATTTTAGTTGATTTTTTTCCTGCTTTTCATATTTAGGCTGAAATGAAGGCGGTTTTAAAAACCGTCAGCATAAAGGATAATTTGGACTATGATGAACCTTTCAATAGTAAGAAAAATACTGCATTATGTTATAGTCTAATTCCTGAATTACAAAAGTCCTTGACTCTGAATTTTCAGCCTTCTATTGATCAACTTACAAACTGGCTGAAAACCTTCCATAAGTCAAGTCAGATAGCTCAAAGAATTAAAAAAAGTGAAAAGGGCCCTTCAGAGCTGCGATGAATTCATAATAATAATCGAGTACATTAAGTAAGCAAATAGCATATATTCTAAATTTGGGTCTATTTGAATCAATAATTTAATATCATTTATTATTTATTAGAAAACAGCTCAGAAAGTAAAGGCGGCAAAGTATTTGTTTAAAGAAATGACTAATAAATTACGAAATACGAAAGGCAACTTTTACTTTAAATTTTTAGCAATTACCTATATTTTTCATCTATTATTGCTGTATATGACTATTCTTAGCGATCGGCTGAGGTTTATTATTTTCTTTATCTAATTTAGCATATTTCAGATTTATTTAGTATATTCCACTAATTATTTTCTTCTTTTAGCTGAAAAATTTACTGAGAAAAGTACTCGATCCTTGTGCTGCTGCAATATCATCATCTTAAATTTAACGAAAGAGAAAATACAATGATGATATGCAGCATTATAACCAGTCATATCCCTATAATGCTTCAAAGTGGTCATATAAAGTATAACCTAATGCAGTCTATAATACTGAGGTCAAAGTAAGAGTTACAACTGCAGAAGAATATATAACAGAAACTGAGGAATATACTGAAGTCAGAAGGGGGTTTCATCTGCTGCTGAAAAAAGTGAAGACGATTTCGTAATGGACAATGGCAAATAATGAATTTTTGAGTTATTTGAATGAGAACAGGTCGATTTTAATAATTATCTTTATGTTTTTTTTGGGTGATTTGAATGAGAACAGGTCGATTTTAATAATTATCTTTATGTTTTTTTTGGGTGATTTGGGGTGAGAATGAGTCAATTTTTTATTATTATCTTTACGTTTTTTTTGGGCGATTTGAGAAACAGGTCGATTTTTTATTATTATCTTTACATTTTTTTCAGATGATTTGGGTGGAAACAGGTCGATTTAATAATTATCTTTACATTTTTTTTGGGTGATTTGGGATGGGAATAGGTCAATTTTAATAATTATCTTTACATTTTTTTTTGGGTGATTTAGGTGGAAATGGGTCAATTTTAATAATTATTTTTACATTTTTTTTAGATGATTTGAATGGAAATGATCAATTTTAATTAATAATTATCTTTATGTTTTTTTCAGGTGATTTGGGATGAGAACAGGTCAATTTTAATTAATAATTATCTTTACATTTTTTTTTGGGTGATTTGGGGTGAAAACGGGATGATTTTAATAATTATCTTTATGTTTTTTTAGGCAATTTAGGTGGGAACGGTCAATTTTAATTAATAATTGTCTTTATATTTTTTTTGGGTGATTTGAGTAAGAACGAGTCAATTTTAATAATTATCTTTACATTTTTTGGGTGATTTGGATAAGAACGAGTCGATTTTAATAATTATCTTTACATTTTTTTTGGGTGATTTGGAATGGAAATAGGTCAATTTTAATAATTATCTTTACATTTTTTTCAGGTGATTTGGGTGGGAACAGGTCAATTTTAATAATTATCTTTACATTTTTTTCAGGTGATTTAGGTAGGTACAAGTCAATTTAATAATTATTTTTTATGTATTTTTGGGTGATTTGGGTGGGAACAAGTTGATTTTAATAATTTTTTTTTGTTTTTTTTGGGCGATTTGGGGTGGAAATGGGGTGATTTTAATAATTATCTATATTTGGGGTGATTTTGGATTAATTTTTCTATTTTTTTACATTTTATATTTATTATTTTTACATCTTTTGGTTGATTTTGAAAGGAATGGATCATATTTTTATCATATATTATTTATTTATCTATATTTAAGATGATTTAAAGGGATTTTGGGAGGAAATGAATCATATTTTATTATTTTATTATTCTATTTTTAATAGGAAATTAATCAGTAGATTTTAGTGATATT